AATCGCCTCTCAATATCCTAAAAATATCTACGCCATTCCAAAAATAGTCTCCATTCATAAAATCAATGAAAAAAAAAAACTGATATCCATCAACAACATGTCTGTCTCCTCAGACTATTTTTAACCAGCTAATCTCGAATTCTATGGAAGCCAATTAGCTCCAGGTCTCAATTCGCGGCCTAATTAAGCTATTTATGTGAATATGGCAGCCAAGCACATAATCAGGTGATAACAGCAATTGCTAATAGCTACGAATTTGATTTGAAAAAAAAAAAGAAAAATTTCTCTCCCGTATCAAATTCCCACAATTTGCCAATCAAAAATAGTCTTTTTTGTCGAAGTGTTAATGTTTCAATAAACATGAAATTAGCAGAGACAACAATTTCATTTATTCGATAGCCACAACTGGGCTGTGCAATGAATGGAGCAACAACAAAAAACTGAGATGTGCAAATTAATATTTAACACCTTAATGGAAATTTTACATGAACTTGCGAATATTTATATCAGCATAAAGTCAAGATCATGCCATGCCATGACAACTTAATAAGGAAAAATTTTTAGGTGTTATAGTGTTCGAGTGGGTATGTGCAAAGGGACAACAATAACAACAAACTTATTTATTTTCGATTATTTAGCAATTTTAGATATTTCCTGAATTTCCAATAACTAATTGGGCGCCATCCTCAGTTATTGAATTTCCAATTTGTCATTAATGGTGCCCCACATCGGGCGCCATCCCAAGCTATTAAGAAAACAGAGATGTGTCCTTCAATTTCCAATTTATCATTGATGGTGTCCTACATTCGGCACCATTCTCAATTACTGAATTTTCAATTTATCATTAATGGTGCCCCACATCGGGCGCCATCTCATTTTATTGAAGAAATAGAGATGGTCCTTCAATTCCCTATGTATCATTGATAGTACCACGGAGCGTCATCTCAATTTGTTGGAAAAATAGAGATGTTTTATCAATGATGGTGCCCTACATTGGGTGCCAACCGGAGTTTTTTGAAAAAAATTGAAAAGTTTTTTGAATTCCTGATTTTTCATAGAATTTGCTACACATTGGGTGCCCCACTTTGGGCGCCATCTCAATTTTTTGAAAAAATAGAGATATTCCTTTAATTTTCCTCTTATCATTGATAGTACCTTACGTCGGGCGCCATCGCCAGTTATTGGAAAAGTTATCAATTTATCAATTTCCATCTTATCATTGATGTTACCCCACATCGGGCGCCATCCCTAGCAATTGAAAAAAAAAATATAATTATTCCGTATGTTTTCAATTTATCATTGTTAGTGCCCCACATCGAACGTCATCTCAAGCTATTGAATTTTCAATTCATCATTGATGGTGCCCCACATCGGGCGCCATCTCAATTTATTGAAAAAATATAGATGTTCATTCAATTTCCTTCTTATCATTGATAGTACCTTACGTCGGGCGACATCCCAAGTTTTTTGAAAACAAAAAATCTTGAATTTCCAACATATCATTGATTTTACCCCACATTGGGCGCCATGCCAAGTTATTGAAAAAATAAAACCAGTAAGGAAAGCTCAAAAGTCGGGCGGCGCCGACTATATGATACCCTACACCACTATGCAAATTTAGTAGAGCTCTCGTAAAAAGGTTTATACAGGGCATTTCAGAGCTCTATGAGATATTTGGTACAAAATCAAAATCTATCTAATTCTATCGTGCATTTTACGAACTATAGCTATCTCTGAACCGGGTTTCTCCAAATTTTACGTATTAGCTTCTAGACTGGTGATTTGGGCTGATATTGACCATTTAGTGCACATATAACCCGAAATCGGATGAAGATATATATGAGAGCTATATCCAAATCTGAACCGATTTCGATAAAATTTGAAACAGCTATTCCTGTGCTCCATCTAATACCTGGTACCAAATATCACGGTTGTAGAGTGAATATTACGAATGTATGGGACTAAAACTCTAAATCGGATGAAACATATATATGGTTGCTATATCTATATCTGAACCGATTTTCACTAAATTTTTTATACTTGCTTCTAGGCTGAATTTGGTCCGATGTACTAAAATTCAGTCCATTTGGACTTATATTGGCCATTTGGTGCACAATTAACCCGAAATCGGATGAAGATATATATGGGAGCTATATCCAAATCTGAACCGATTTCGATAAAATTACAAACAGCTATTTATGGGCTGTATCTTATATCTGGTACCAAATATCATTCTTGTGGAGTGCATATTACGAATGTGAGAGGCTTAAACACCAAATCGGATGAAAGATATATATGGGAGCTATAGCTATATCTGAACCGATTTTCTCCAAATTTGATATACTTGCTTCTAGGCCGAACTCGGTTGGGTGTGCCAAAATTCAGGTAATTTGGACTGATAGTGGACATTTGGTACACATTTAACCCGAAATCGGATAAAGATATATATGGGAGCTATAGCTGTTTCTGAATTGATTTTCTCCAAATTAGTTGTATTTGCTTTAAGGCTAATCTCGGCCACATGTGCCAAAATTCGGGTCATTTGGGCTGATATTGGCCATTTGGTGGTCAATTAATCCGAAATCGGATGAAGATATATATGGGAGCTATATCCAAATCTGAACCGATTTCGATAAAAATTTAAAACAGCTATTTCTGTGCTTCATCTAATACCTGGTACCAAATATCACGGTTGTGGAGTGCATAGTAGGAATGTGAGGGACTTAAAGATCAAATCGGATGAAAGATATATATGGGAGCTATAGCTATATCTGAACCGATTTTCTCCAAATTTGATATACTTGCTTCTAGGCCGAACTCGGTTGGGTGTGCCAAAATTCAGGTAATTTGGACTGATAGTGGATATTTGGTGCACATTTAACCCGAAATCGGATGAAGATATATATGGGAGCTATATCTAAATTTGATCCGATTCTCACCAATTTCAATAGAGTTCGTCCTTGGGCCAAAAAAATATTGTTTGGAAAATTTCATCTCAATTGGATAATAAATGCGACCTGCATTTTGTTCACAAGAATACATGGACAGACGGACGGACGGACAGACGGACTGACATGCATAAATCGACTCAGAAAGTGATTCTATGAAGGTTCTCAAAAGTAACTATGGGTCTATCTCGTTTCCTTCTCCATGTTACAAACAAATGCACAAAGACATAATACCCTTACCACTATGTGGTGTAGGGTATAAAAAGTTCCACATCGAACGTCATCTCAAGCTATTGAATTTGCAATTTTTTATTGGTGGTGGCGCACATCGGGCACATACGTGAATTTTAAATTTTTAATTGAGGCTGTCCCACATTGGGCGCCATCTTAATTTTTTTCTGTGAATTTTTAACTTATCACTGATGTGGAGCACCCTCTATATTTATCATTGATAGTGACCTATCTTAACTAAGTTTAGCGAGCTGTACTTCTGACAAATTTCCACCTTCATCTGAGATATTTTTTATCCGTATTTTTATCTCATATTCAGGCATACCACACAATTAATTGCAGCGAATCCCACAATTCGACCATGCCCGATGGTTTCATGATAAAATACAGACTCTTCATGACAATTTTCCAATCAATACAAAATATTTACTTAATTTATAATAGATTTTTCGCAACTAAAAAACTGGGAAGTGACAAAAAGAAGATCAATGGATAAGCGAATGAACGGACATAAAAAGAGACAGAGGGTTATGACTTCATTTACACACATACACACCAACACTCGGAGAGCAGAAGATTTGCGTCACACAAACCATTAAAAATTAATGACATGTTTACAGACAGTATTTTTCCGTTCAATAACTCGATTCGATAATAAATGAAGATACCCATGGAGACGATGATGAAGACCGTAAACGATAATGATGTTGCGGAGGCGTTGATTACGATGATAATAATGAAGTCAACATGATTGGTTTTTTCTCGACACAGCAAAACGGAAAAAATGTAGACAGTTTTTTTGCTTCTTTTTTTATTCTTGAAAACCAGAAATGCAAACGTGACATGTTCGGAATTGTTTTGACGATGCGGTTCGATTTCATTACCGGCATGGGAAGTAAATGAAGCACAGTGTTTAGGAAGGGAATATAAGAGGGGGAATGTGGAAAAGAATTAAGAGAAATAAAACAAAGAAAGAGGGAGATGAGCCAAATGGAAATGGTCTCTATAAAAGAGATGTAAGCAAGGACAGCTCAAAGAAGAGCTGAAGGTTAGAAATGCTTCCGCAGAAGAACGGGAGGTTGGACAGTTCTCATACAGGAGTTGAAGACCATTATGTCTGCTATAGATAAGCTGAGGAGCCTTTCATGCAGCTAGAGGTGACGTTTCCTTCTCCTTTACCTCACCTCCAGCTGCATCAAAGGCTCTTCAGCTTACCTATAGCGGACAACATGGTCTTCTACTCCTCTACTAAGACTCCCCGACCTTTCGATCTTTTGTGAAAGCAAGCTCTTCTATAGCCATGGTTGAAGGAGTCTTCTATGGATGGTCTGAAGACCGTAGATTATTCTATAAATGAGTTGAAGACAAGAAAATTGAATAACTCAATAGAAAAACTTAAGCCCAGAATCCTTTACAAGATTCGGGACCCGTCTTAGAGTAGCAGTAGTTCATGTAAACTTGTAGAAGTAAGATGTAGGCCAGGATGTCGTTAGACGAACTGAAGTCGAGCTGGAAGACAGGGAGTCTTCTCCATATACGAGCTGGAGGACAGGAACTCTTTTACATACAGGAGTTAGAGGACAGGAGTATTCTCCGTAAACGAGCTAAAGAATAGGGAGTCTCCCCAATGAACAAGCTGGAGGACAGAAAGTCTTATATATAGTAGGGATAGAGGACAGAAATTCAAATTCATAGACGAGTTGGAGAACAGGAGTCTTCTCCATAGGCGATCTGGAGGACAGGGAGTCTCCCCTTAGACGAGCTGAAGGACACGGAACCTTCTCCTTTGACGAGATGGAGGACAGGAGGTTTTTTCCATAGATGAGCTGGTGGGCAGGGAATCTTTTTCATAGACAAACTGGAGATCAGGGAGTCTTCTTCATTGACAAGTTGGAGGACAGGTAATCTTGTCCTTTGAAGAGGTGGAGGACAGGGAGTCTTCTCCATAGACGAACCCAGAGTCGTCGGCTCCAAAGACGTGCCGAAGGCCGGCCCGAGTCTCGTTGTTTCAAAAGACGAGCAGAAGGCCGGCCAGAGAGTCGTCGTCTTCACAGACGAGCTGCCGGCTAGGCAGACATCGTCTTCATAAACCAGCTGAAGGTCGCCTAGGGAGACATCGTCTCCATAGACCAGCTGAAGGTCGCCTAGGGAGACACCGTCTCCATAGACCAGCTGAAGGTCGCCTAGGGAGACATCGTCTCCATAGACCAGCCGAAGGTCGCCTAGGGAGACATCGTCTCCATAGACGACTTAGGAGACATCGTCTCCATAGACCAGCTGAAGGTCGCCTAGGGAGACATCGTCTCCATAGACCAGCTGAAGGTGGCCTAGGGAGACATCGTCTCCATAGACCAGCTGAAGGTCGCCTAGGCAGACATCGTCTTCATAAACCAGCTGAAGGTCGCCTAGGGAAACATCGTCTCCATAGACCAGCTAAAGGTCGCCCAGGGAGACATCGTCTCCATAGACCAGCTGAAGGTCGCCTAGGAAGACATCGTCTCCATAGACCAGCTGAAGGTCGCCTAGGGAGACATCGTCTCGATAGACCAGCTGAAGGCCGACTTAGGAGACATCGTCTCCATAGACCAGCTGAAGGTCGCCTAGGAAGACGTCGTTTCCATAGACCAGCTGAAGGTCGGCTAGGGAGTCATCGTCTCGATAGACCAGCTGAAGGCCGACTTAGGAGACATCGTCTCCATAGACCAGCTGAAGGTCGCCTAGGGAGCCATCGTCTCCATAGACCAGCTGAAGGTCGCCTAGGGAGACATCGTCTCCATAGACCAGCTAAAGGTCGCCCAGGGAGACATCGTCTCCATAGACCAGCTGAAGGTCGCCTAGGAAGACATCGTCTCCATAGACCAGCTGAAGGTCGCCTAGGGAGACATCGTCTCCATAGACCAGCTGAAGGTCGCCTAGGGAGACATCGTCTCCCGACTTGGGAGACATCCTCTCCATAGACCAGCTGAAGGCCGACTTGGGAGTTATCGTAACGGATATATATCGAAGGTCGAATAATCGTAAAAAATCAGTCCAGCCATGGGGCTCTTTTTGTCTTGAAAGGTCTTCCGTTTTTTAAGAATCCAAGAAATTTTTTTTGTCTGAAGAAGATCTTAAAGGGCCTGTTGTCTGTACAAGACCCTGACAAGTCTTCAGTGTACATATAACCATTAGTGGTCCCTGGAAAGACTTCTTTCTGGAGCTTCTTTCTTCTTGCATCCATTGTAGAACCGTTAAGAGACTTATATCCTATAATAAAAAGTATTATATTCATAAAGGAAACTCAGGTAATACATAGAAGATCTACTATCCCAAAATAACATCACCAAATACCTATAAAATTTCCCTCTGCCCAGTTAACGTTTTCGTGTTTTCCCCACCCAAAGACACTGTGGCCACTACAAAATAGCTGATGGAAAGAAAACAACACTTTAATGAACCAATAATAAAAAACTGTTTCTCCAGTGGAATATTTTACTATTGGAAAATGGCAACAACAAAAAACAACAACAACAACAGCTAGAAGAAGAAGAAGAACGAAAAATCATTTGTTTTCTTTATTGACAAAACATTTATTAATTTAGATTCCGTGCCATTCACAGATTTTTCCTCATCCGTTGTGTGCGGTTGAGAAGGAAACGACATAAGTAGTCATATATGTATGTATGTATGGTTGTTTGTAGGCATAGCTGTAGGGATGAATTTGCATAGCTCCAGTTTGGTGTACCAGCGGTGACATCACGAATCGTAAAACAAATGTTTCAGCATTTTTGTGGCACACAAAAAAGCGAAATTGAAACAAAAACAACAACACGTGGAAGCCATATCGGTTTTCAAGATTCTGTGGTTTGGGTTGGTTGTTAGTGCTTTAGGGCCACCACCTACTTACAAAACTAATTTTGTGGAAATTTTTGTTGTTTGCACAATTGAGTGATATCACCGAAAAAATTTACAGATGTTTCTATTTTAGTTTGGATGGGACATACCCACTCATTGTTAGACTACTGCCATAAAAAAGAGGGAAAGATGCGATTTTTTTATCAGCTCCATCAAATGATTTGCCGACAGATGTATACCCAATCAGCAAATGGTCGATTATTTTAAAATATTGATTACACGCTTATGATTATTAAAATTGTTGGCACTCTTTGGAGTAGGTTCCAAAGGAATAGGCCAATATTGACCATTTCGTATTGGACATAAATATATATATATGATATAAATATTGCGACGTGCCTGGTTTGGACTCCATTGCTTAATTCCTTCACCTCATATGAGATATGTGATAATTTTTAGAATTATGACCTTCAAACGGCCAATGAAACCGTCACACGTTGCCCGAATGTTGCTCTACGGTATTTTGGCCCATTCCCGGCGAAGCGCTTGCTTGTGGTAATCGACACTTTGGTATTTTTTAGTGCCAACCTTGTTCCCCCCAGACACAATAGTCCAACGGACTGGAATCCGAAGATTTTGGTGGTCATCGTGTGCGGGAAATGAAGCGAGGAACCTAATTGTGTAACCATTTATGGATGGCTTGGGTGGCATGCCACGGTCGATTAATAGGAGCGGAGAACGACCATCGGTTGTTATGGCGGCCCACTCCATCACCATGGCCGGCGCTTGAATTCTGGTGACCAACCGAAGGTGCACATTTTCAGCTGACCACTCTGGCAAGTAAACACTTTTATGTTTTCTCATCGGAGAAAACCAAATTCGGTAATAATTTTAACAGCTGTCGGAGGAGTGGCTTAGAAGTGACAGCAGTCTGAAGTTGGTTGCAGTTTTTTTTAATCTCACCCACAACAGATCTTGTGTTAGCAAAAATGTTTGAATTTGGAAAATTTGAAGAGAATTGGTTGCTTATTTCGCTTTCCTTGAGCGTTTTGTTCTTCAAAATCTTGAACCCCATGTGTGGGAGAGGTACCAGAAGGAATGGTCCGATCTTTACCATCTTTATAACAGATCTTGTATTGATAGAAATATTAAGATATGCCAAGGTGGAATGGAATCGGATGTTATTTTCGCGTTTTATGATCTTCATGGGCATTCAAAACTTTGACCCTTTGTGGGGAAGGTACCAGCAGAAGGAGTGGACCGATACATTCCATCTTCACAGAACATCTTGTGTTAGTATAAATAATGGGATATGCGAAATATGAAGAGAATCGAATACTTATTTCGAATTTTATAATCGTTTTGGTTATTGAAAATTTAGACCTGGGGGGGGGGGGGGGGTTAGGTACCAGAAAAATAGTCCCATCACTCCCATCTTTATAACAGATCTTGTGTTGATGGTTATATTGAGATTAACCAAGTCTGAATGCAATCGGATGTGAATTTCGCTCTTTATAAGCTGCATGAATTTTCACACTTAATGGGGGAGGTGCCAGCAGGTTTGGACCGATTTATTCCAAATGTGGACCGATATATCCACACCAGACCTTAGGCTAATACAAATATTGTGACGTGTGTAATTTGAACTCCTACATCAAATTTTATAAGAGTTATTAGTAATCAAAATGTTGACCTTTTATTGGCGAAGTACTTGATGGAATCGACCAATATTGTCCATTTTCGCACCTGACCTACACTAATATAAATATTAGGATTTGCAAAATTGGAACAAACTGGGATTATTCTTTCTCTCTCTCTCTCTATCTCTCTCTGGGCAGTAAAATATTTTCTTTGAAAATTTCAATTTGATCATTTTGTGGGGGAGTTACCAGAAGGAGTGGACCGATATTGTCCATGTCCGAACTCTATCTAAGTTTGATAATAATTTAAAAAGTTTGGACCAAATCGAACACTCTCTTCGAGAGTTATCGTGTGCTAGAGACAGACACACAGACGAAGGGACGGACATCGCTAGATCAAATCCAAATGTCCTGAAACGGATTTGGTCCAAAGAGATCTACGGCCTACAACCGTTTTTTTTTTTATGAGGCACTTTTTGGGCGTATAAAATGATATATATAGACTCTCCAGCCCGAGGGTAAAAAAACAAGATGATCAAAAATACCTCATCATCACATCAGATTATGATCTCTTCCCCGCAATTTGTTAGATAAGGATGTCATCTGGAAGTAAAGTAAGTAAATTTCCCATAATTTATAATTTTTTTTTTATCACAAGGTGTCGGAACGGAATCTGAGAAGATAACTTAAGATGACACAATTCCGAAAATGAACATAACAAAGCTCCCAATAAAAAAACCTTCCATGCCAAATAGTCCCTTAGCCAAAACGAGGAAATTCAAACGGATTTTTTCTAAAATAAATTCATGTCTACTTACGAATGAATGACTTCTTGAATCCAAACATAAATGTACTTACCTAAAATAAAGAACAAAAAAAAATTAATTTATTTATAATTATTTTCAGTTAAAATTATTTTTATTTTAAAAAAAATTAAAATAAATTAAAAAAAAATAATGTTATTAATATTTAAAAGTTTAAATGTGTTATTTGGTCCGTCCACTTATATTATTTTAGGCTATGACCAGTTAACATATGTCCAAAAAAGATACCATTTTTATAAAAATTTAAAAAATTGAAAAATAAAATGTTGTAATGTTTTTTTGTTTTTTTGATTTTTTTTTTTTTTTTTTTTTTTTTTTTCAAAAAATTTCCTACCAAAAATTTAAAATTTTTGATAAACATTTTTAAGGACTTTCTGAATTTTCGCGAGAAAAAATATTAGAATTTTTCAAGGACTTCATTCATGAACTTGTTATATCCTCAGCCATATGACCCTCTGCAGTCATATGGGTGAGATAAACAAAACTGCATCAGATTGCGGTCATTTCTAAGCCACTCGTGCGACAGCTTTTACACTCATTCCAATGACAACTCATTATATTGTTGACAAGCGTACAAAAGCATTTTTGTGAGAATTTTCCAGAAAAAAAGTTATTCGTGATGGAATTCAAGCGTGACAGTGTGATTTCTTTTTATTTGGCTGGAAAACCACAAGTGGCTATCGTTAGAGTACTCCAGCATTTAAATGTGAGTACATTGTTTGTGTCTTTTACCATCGCTCGTTACCGACATCAGGAAAACAGCAACATCAGCAGAAATGGTTCGAAAAGTAAAGAAGCGACTTGACAGAAACCCACGTCGCAGTGGCCGAAAAAAGGCTCGTGAGCTGAACATATCGCAATATTTCATTCGGCAAATATTGAAAAATGAGCTCGGGGTAAAGCCATTGAGACTCCATAGAATGCAAGAACGTACACGGCAACAGAAAAAATAGACTCAAAAGAGCTAAAGAGTTGCTTCGCTTAGCCGAAAGTGGTGAACTGCCGAATTTGGTTTTCTCCGGTGAGAAAACATTCGCACGGTTTGTAAACAAATCGTATTTACTTGAGGTCGGCTAAAAAAAATGTACCTTCGGTTGGCCACCAGAACTCAAGCGCCGGACATGGTAATTTTGTGGGCCGCCATAACAGCCGATGGACGCTATACGCTCGTATTTTTCGACTGTAGCATCAGAATAAATGTCGAATATTATCGCGAAAATTTTCTGGAGGGTGTATTAAAGCTTTGGGCACGTAAACATTTTGGCCGCAGACCTTGGACATTTCAAGAGAACTCAGCACCATCGCACTCAGCACCGCTTCGCCGGTAATGGGCCAAAATTTCGCAGAGCAATATTCGAGCAGCATGTGACAGTTTCATTGGCCGTTGGAAGGCCATAATTTGTGCCAAGGGTGACCAATTCGAATGAATCTAAACTTATTTGAAAATTTGATGCTATTTCCGACATTTTTTGCTTTCATTCAATAAAACTTAAAAAAAATGTAAAAATTATGGCGTTTGACTTTGTTGCAGTTTTTTCTGGTGTGAATATGGGGTATATCGATATACTCCTTCCGGAACATCCCCCACAGCGGGTCAATATTTTGAATAATTATATTTCTCATAAAATGTGAAATATGCATTCGATTGTCTTCAAATCA